CCCCAAAACCCCAAAACCCCAAAACCCCAAAACCCCAAAACCCCAACAATAACCAACAAGATTGATAAACGCTGCCAGTTAAATTTTATTCGTAATTTATTTTTAATCGATAAAGATGAGGAAACTCAGTCCAGAAGAAATAAACGAAGTTGAAGAAATCATGCATGAGAGACATCCTCTGTATTATACATGAAGTAGGTTGCTAGGCTTAGCTTAGCTATGTTTTGCGGTCAGGAGGCTTGGTGGGATTCTAGTAACTTCCCCCTTGGGCTTACTGAACTTAGCTGTAACAAGATATCCAATACTTGATTTATGATTAATATCTCGACTTTAAAATCTAGTATCTAAATTAAGTGATATAGACTCTGTATTTGATATATTCCCTGCCTTCAGAAGTATATTCTGTTGTTTTGGAGATAAAAAGCAACGTGAGCAGGTAGATTTTTATCCTAATATTCATAGCCTATACTTCCTCAGGAATTTGAAAGAAGCGATGCTCCAGCCAACCCTCAAAAACCTGAAGAGCAAGGTAAGCTCAAGCCAGAATCATGAGTGCTGATAATAGTATAGGAGAAAAGAAGCTAGGGTTTGGAATAGTTGCATACTTTGATCTCCAAAAGTATTTGTCAGTACTTTTCCTGATCATATTTATCCTCCAATTACCATCCCTGTATCTTTACAGGTATTATCCACATGGAAGAAAGATGGGCTCTTCGACCTTGAACAAGTACTCCATCGGAAACCTTGGCTTTTCCAATGTCTTCTGTGAAGACACTTCAATGAAGGTCGGCAATCTCACAATGAGTTGTCCTACAGGAGAGATGAGAAAAATCATATCGTTCGGGGTGATCCCAAGCGATGGGATTGAAAATGACGCCTGCTTACCCAACCCAGAAACTAACGAATGAGTAGGCTCATTCGACGAAGTCAGCTTGGGTAAAGAAATCGATCAGAAATGTCTTAACAAAACCACGTGCACGGTTGATGGAGCGAAATATCTAAAAGAAAAAGGAAATCCTAAATGAGTTACCCCATATTCTCAATTCTACATGCAAGTGTTCTGTATGCACAGTGATGAAGAACTTGAACGGAGAGACTGGCTGTCTTTTTATTTCACCGTACAAATTATTGTCACCTCACTCGTGATTTTGAGCTTCTTGTTCTTCCTCAAGCAGAAGAACACGTATGATTTCAAGGAGTGGAAAACTAAAACAGCAACTATTTCTAATTTTTCTGCACTGTATGAAATACCAGATGGAGTTTACAAAGATTTCTTAGATAGAGCTAAAGAAAATGATAGAGCACTCAATGTATCTAATATCAAAGTGGGAAGTAAGAATCCCTCATTTGAAGAAAGCAAAGATCCTGGAGCTCCTACTCAAAACGAACAGAACTTAAGAGAATTGCTTAAGAAAAGTGGAGGTAGAACTTCAGATCTTATAGCATCCTGCAGCAACTCCAAATCTGTAGCTATAATGAACAAGATTGATGTAAACAAGCTTCAAAATGTCAATTCTAAAAAGAATTCGCCAAGAGTAAGCATGGCTGGGCAAATCCAGGAGCAGAATAACTACGATAGAGTCTCTGTCCTATTCGCATTTAAAGAGTACCTACGTCAGAAGATAGAAGTAATCTTGAGTGAAGAGTACTCAGAAGCTATTCGAATTACCAACATTTACTTCAGTTTCAACTATATTCAAATGTTCGAACAGTTAGAGGAGAGAGGAAAGCACATTAAGTATTCTGACGAGAAGAACATTCAGACTCTTGAGGATGACATTGTGGAATACATTGAACAAAACCCTGACCTAGTGTGCACCCCAAAAGAGGCCTATATCACCTTTGAAGAGAAGGAAGATTGCGATAAAGCTTTGGATTTTACTACCAGAAATCCTGATGCTAAGTTGGATAGCAAAGAGCTAAGGTTTATCCCTGCTGCAGAGCCATCAAATATAGAATTCGTGAATAAGTTCCAGTCAAAAATGTCTCTGTTAATCAAGAAGATCCTTGTATTTGTAGCATGATTTCTATTCCTTATGTTCATATGCTACCTCCTTTTCCAAGTCATGGACCAAATCAACAAACTTGGAAGAGTATATCCCACTGTAGACTGTAATGATGTCCTGAGTGAATCCTCAGTAGAAATGATGCAAAATTATGCTATGATAGAGTGGCACAACATCGAAACCTCTGATTGGTCAGAAGAAGCACTTCTCAAGATCAACACTGATAACATGCAATGCTTCTGAGATGATCTGAGAAACAACTATGGATTCTTTGATGCTATGAAGAAGACTTATAAAATCAATATATTTGAGCATGAGGTTGAAGGACAAGTCTGATCAAATTACCTCAAATCATCAGTGTTCATTGAGCTGATGAGCTACATAGTTCCAGTCTTGATCTTCACGACTGGTGTTATTCTAGAAACTTTCGCTTGCTACTGTATTTCTTGGATCTATTATGAAAACAAGACTCATGAGGTATCCAGCATCCAGCTTGCAGTCTTTGTACTTGGATTCTTCAATAGTGCCTTAGCAATTTTACTCATCAATGCAAGATTCACTCAAAAGCCCAATGGATCTTTCTTGTTCAATGGTCTCTACACTGACTTCAGTGATGACTGGTACGATGAAAGTTCTGAGTACTTCGTCACTCCGATGTTCATGGAGATCCTTACTCCTTTCATTGAGTTTACTCGCCCATTCATAGTGCAAAAAATAATTGCTTTGATAGATAGAAGATTTAGAGGGTATAAGAAATATGCAACTAAAAGCAGAACAGCATCTGATTATGCTGAGCTCAACTCTGGAATGGAGAATGGACTTGAGGGCAAATACTCTAATATTTTATGTATAACTATGGTCGCTTGATTCTATGGCTTTGGTCTACCTCTTGTCCCAATTACCGTATTGGTAATCCTGATAATAACCTATATCTTTGAGAAAGTAATGGTGTTCCTTCACTACAGAAAGCCACCCCTTTATGATGAAACTTTGAACAAGACTGCTATCTTTATTCTAAAATGGGGAGCTTTCTTCTACGTGGCGATTGCATATTGGATCTTGACAAACAAACAAATGTTTCAGAATGTTCTAGATCCGATTGAGTATAAAGATTTTATTGAAGATTATCATCATCATATATTTGAATTACCTAAGCACACTCATAAGAGAGTGCTCCTATTCTATGCATTATCCCTCCTTCTAGTCCTGATATGCCTAGATCTTTTTGAAAGCCCCATCGGTAGCATGTGGAGCTCAATTCCTCTTCTGAAGAACAAAAAGGTGCATCAATTTGCTCCATTTAGCAAATTATTAAAGCCAAAGGATAAAGAGCATCTTTTACAAGAAGAAAAGCTTAGAAGAGAAAAGTTTGGCTATAAGCTTCTTCAAGACGACTTTTACAAGAATCTTCAAGAGCAGAGCTTTGGTCTCCCAACTGGGTTGAATAAGAACTTGAGAGAAGAAGATCCTCGGTCTTATGATGTCAGTACTACTGGCTTGATTGAAAACCATGTGACATATGATCCTCTAGACTCTTTAGAAAATGCTATATCATACAGTTATGTGCCAGTAGAAAGAAGATGAGAGGGACATGATCTCATCAATGTTGATTCTGAGTTCACAAGACTTGCACTTGAGTACCCTTATCACAGGGATATTGAGCTGCTTCGTAAGATCTCCAGATCTAAGATACACCACTCTGGGAGACAATAAAAATATAGCTCTTGATATTAAGTTGGTCAATACTTTATACTGAGAATGGGGTTTTGGGGTTTTGGGGTTTTGGGGTTTTGGGG